GGTCCTCCTGGAAGCTGTGATCATGACAGGCCCCAACATGGGAAACTGCAGACCTGGGCACACTGAGCACCAAGGGCGCTGTTGGCTTCAGTGGACACTGGGAACCCCTTTTCTGGGCCTGGGAGGGAAGGTCTGCCTGAGGTGACAGCCCCACCCACCATGCAACTCTCTTGTAGAAACCACTGAGCTTGGGGACCCCATGTCCCCAGGTCCCCTTAACCACACCTCATCCAGGACAGGCAAAGTCTTGTGCCAGGCCCCTGTCCTTCCCCCAGAACCCCAGGCCTCTGCCAGGATGCCCCCAAGGTCAATCTGCTTCATACCACATGGGGTCAGTGGCTGTTAGCACCCAGCAACCTGACACACAGCCATGAACCTGACACAGTAGCCCTCTGAATGCCAGGGATTCTCTCCTTCACCCCGACCCAGACTTTTACTCTTCAGAGTCAAGCGATGGGTTGGCAGTGGGGCCCATGCAGGGGAGCCCAAGTCCTGAGTCAATGGTGTCTTAGTTACTTTCCTCATTGCTGGCCAAAATCCCAACACCCACAGCTTAAAGGTGGAGGTTTATTTTGGCGGGAAATTTCAGTCCATGGTTGGATGCTCCAAGGCAGGAAGCCTGGTGGAAGGGCCTGGCGGAGGTGAGGTGAGCTGCTCATCTCATGGCAGCCGGGAGGCAAAGAGAGAGGGGAGGGGCTGGAAAGGGAGACACAACTTTCCCGGTCATGGCCAAGTGATCTGGGCCCACCTCCCGGCAGCACATTCAGCTATGAACTCATCCATGGATGAATCCAAGATGGGCAGTGTCCCATGGTCCAGTCACGCTCCATACATGAGACTTTGGGGGGACATTCTTTACCTAAACCATAATAGATAGTGACCTGGCTGACCTCTCGCCTGTGGGTGACATTAAGTAGCCAGGTTTTCTGGCAACCAAGAGCAGCAGGATCTGGACTATCCGAGGTACATCTTGCTGCAGAAGCCCTCTCTCCTCTGATAGAACTGAGCTCCTAGAAAGCACCCTGGCCACTAGCATGGCAGCTGTCACCCCCTGTGGGCCCAGCCAAGCCTGCTGGTCATGGGGCTCCCCTGACACGGATCCACCCAGAGCTGCCCCGGGGGATCCCATGCGGGACATCCTGGGCTGGTGCCAGTTGCTGCTTCACCTGCCCCCCTCCAAGGTGGCTCCTTGTGGGGGGCTAATGTCCTGCATGACCTGCCACCATCCTTCCTAACACCGGTCCTTGCTGGTGGCTCATGCTCTTTCTGATGTGGCAACACACAGAAGTGACAATGGGCCTGGAAGGCAGAGAGGCACCAACACTCCCCAAGCGCTTTCCCCCTGGAAAGGGGTTTGCCTCAGGCCAAAAAGAACCTACAAACTCCAAGTTTCTTCCTCCCCCCGGACTGGACACCTGCCAAGCAGAGGGCCCCCTTGCTTCTCATGTGGGCAGCTAGAGCAACTCATGTGGTTCATGCAACGAGGCAGGGACCCAGGCAGGGAGAGGTCTCCAGGGTGAGCAGACCCGCAGCCCAGCTGGGAGCCGCAACCAAACTGCTGGAAGCACAAACTGACATCAATTGAGACTCCACCAGGAGTCTGGCTCCTTCCCCAGACCCCGAGGCATGCAGGAGGATGTGGGGGGTGACTGGGCCCAGCCCTGCCTCACCTTGCTGAGGACCCACTGGTGGGTACGCACTGGCCTTCCCCGGTGGGTTTTAGAAGATTTTCATCACTCCAAAAGATGCCCAGGGTCCCTTTACCTACCACTCCCTATGCAGGCAGCCCTGAGCCCTGAGCCCTGAGCCCTGAGCCCTCCTGTCTCCAAGTCTACCAATGTGTGTATTCTTTTCTCTTATTGTCATTGCTTTGGGCATAGTGTCTAAGCATCTTTCTCTAAACACAAGGTCATGGCAATTCAGCTGTTTCTTCCAAGAGGTTTATAGCTGTGGTCTTAACTCCTTGATCTCTGACCCATCCTGAGTTAACTGTCCTGCAAGGTGTGGAGTAGACTGGTTTGCTACTGGATCTTTCCTCAGCAGCTCTGTCAGCTGGATGGACTTATGCAGGGGCACAAGGGCACAGTGCTGGGGACTGGTTCACCCAAAATGCTTTAGCCAGAGACAAGGCCAGGGAGGCTGAAGCCCAGGAAGTCCCTGAGCACCACCAGCACCGTCCTTCCTCAAGAGAAGCTCTTCTGGTGAGTTCCTCTTCATCCCTCAGTTCCCTACTCAAATGCTCCCTTGGGGATGCATCCTTGCCGAAGGCAGGCAGGAAGCGGCCCCACTCCAGTGCCCTCACCACTGCAGGTTCTATGGGTCAGGGACTTTGAGAGTTCATCCCCCTTACATCCCTCCAGCCACAGGCCTTATTTAAATGAATAAATGAGTGATTCCATCCATTTATGCACAGCTAAGAAGCCCACAGACTGGGGAATAAACAAGTCCATAGAGCCAGTTGGCTCTCGCTCTCTTTGCTTCCATACTTGCTGAGCCCCTAGGGCTAGCACGGACCACCCTAGGCTAAACCTGCTTATGTCCAGCTCCAACCTGACCTGATATGGCATGAGCTTTCCTCAGGCAGCAGACACCGTCACATGTGGGGAAGCTGATTATGCGCAGAGAACAAGAAACAGAAAAGCAGAAATTAAATTAGATGGCAGCCTGGAAAATGCCCACTGTGCAGAAAATGCAGGCTAACTAATTTGTCTGGCCTCCCTGGAAAACAGTGAGGTTTTAATCTGGGTCTCTGGGACCTGGCTCCTGAGGCACACCGTGCCTTGGGAGGGGGAGGCAGACTCCACTCCAGATCAACAGACCCAGATTCAGTCAGTACTGGGTCCCACTGGCTACCAAGGGCGAGCAGGGGCCTGAGAGGTGGGGAAGAATCGGTATCAACCAAGGGGCTCCAGTTCAATGGCAGGAAATGCAGGGCTCGTGGGATCAGGCGCAGCACACTGGGAAGCCCAGTGAGCACCCACCCAGTGTTAAGGGGCACCAGGTCGTGCCTGGGGCCCTGTGGACATGTGTGGGTGTTTAAGGAACATCAGGCTGGGTGAACCAATAGGCAGCTTCAGGGCGACCAGGCAGGGCTGGGCAGCCAGGCCATCTGTGCCTAGGCTGTCCACACACAGACCCTTAGGTCACCTATTGATTATCCCCAGCTGGTAGGGCTCCCTCGGACCAGGTCTCCAGGTGGTCCCAGGACATGAGCTGGTGACACTGGGAGGACCCCTTTCCTGAACGTTCCCCAGCGCCTGAACTCTGCTAGTCCCTTCCTGGCCGAGACCACTGCCGGAGACCTCCCCAGAGTGACTGTAGCATGCTTACACGCAGCCAGCCTCTTCTGTCCTCACCACTGAGCCCCGAGCTCAGCCCTTCTGGTCACTCCTCCTGTAACCTGAGCAATCTGTCCACACTTAGGGTCCCACACCACAGATAAGCCACAGAGGAAGGGGGTGCTGTGTGTCAGATCCTGGGCATTGGTAGGGAGTTGGAGCTGCCCACAGGCCCTGGGGAAGAAAATGGCCCCAGATCAGAACTAGAAAATTCAGGCTCCAAGTCAGGTCTGGGCAGCACTGACTGGGCCTTTGTCCTCCTCAGAACGCATCTCCCTGGCCTCCTTCAGTCCTCTGCCAGCCTGGGACTGGGCACGGGTGCAACCTGAGTGCAGGAGGCCAAGGGTGCCGCTGCCCTGAGGCCAACCCAGACAAGGACAGGCTGGCAGGCCAGGGGTGGACCTCACCTGTGACGGCAGGGCACTCACCACCCTGCTGCTGCCCTTCCTGGCTGAGCCTCCAGCCTGCCCTGCTCCCTGGCATACCCAGCCTGGACCCCAGCCTTAGGTCTGGCCCTAGGGAACCTTCACCTCTGCCCTACCTCAGGCCAAGCCACACTGTCACCTCCCTCCCACCACACCCTCTCCAGGGATGGGGAGACACTTCCACACCTGACCAGGCCACTCCGTGCCCAGAACGGGGTGCCTCACCTCAAGACCGCCTGGACGGACACGCAGGCACACAGGGACGCAGACCTGCCCATGGTCTCTGCCCACTGTGGTCACAGGGTCCAGGGCAGGCTCTGGGCTGGCTCTGATGCCAGTCGTGATGTCACCCCAGCCCTGACCCAGCTGGCACTGGCTGCAGCCTCTCTCTGCCCACGCCACTGGGGCCGGGGGAGGCCCTGGCTGTGGGGTTCCTGGTCTCACGCTGCCACCCCCTGCCGGTCTGGTCAGTGCAGAGTCCTCCCACGCAGCCACCCCTGCAGCCTCCTCCATGGGCAGAGCTCACCTCCGAGCCAGCTGCCCCTCCTCCCTTTAGAGACCCTGTGACTCTGTTTTCCAGGACAGGCCTCAGGCAGGGAGCAACACAGCAAAGGCACCTCTGAGCACCTCTCATGGGCAGCTTGGCTTCTGGGGGGTCCTGGGAGGTCCCTACTACTACAAAGCCTGGGGTGGGTGCCCATCCCAGGGGTGCACAGGGCGACAGGCCTGGTGTCAACACCAAACTCAGGGCCATAGGGTCTGATCCAAACCAGACACAGAGAGCGAGGGCCACATCCTCACAGCAGCCTCGGCCAGAGCCCCGTGCAGCATATGGGATGGGCACTGGGGACCTTGGCCCTGTGCCCGGGGACTGTACTGAGAATGGAGCACTTCCACCGTCCTCCCCCTCCCTAGAGCAGGACCAGGGGGCCCATCCTTTGGCCACAGTCCCACTCAGGGCCTAGTGTGGGAGGGACATGGCACCTGGCCAGAGATGGGGTCCCTGACACCAGGGCACCCCGAAAGCCATACAGGGTGAGAAGATGGTGCTCCTGCATGCATGCCATGCTCCCCATGGGGACAGTCACCCTTGGTGAGCCAGCCCGAGGCCAACACTGTGCAGCCAGAGCCTGACCAGGGGCGGACCTCCAGAGCTTGGCTCAGAAGACTTGCAGCGGCCCGAGGAGACAGCATCTTCCGCCCCACTGCGCCGAGAGCCCCCATGGGCTGGGCTTACCGTCCACACAGGCAGGCCGTGCTCTTGTGGTCCCGGCGATTTGCCCCTTTCTGCACGCGCAGCGAGCCGTCTGCCGGGCGATTGTCCTCCTCGGCTGGCTGCTGTCCCGGTCCAGGGTCACAATCTCGCAGGTGCCAGCGGCCAGCTGACCTGCAAGACAGGTTAGCTGTTGTGAGCTGTGTGACCCCAGCCACAGCCTTTCAACCCAAGGTCCACCCGGCGCCCACTATGGGCAGAATGGGGCAGGGTGGCCTGGCCCTGCAGGGAGTGTGCTGCACAGCCTAGGCTGGCCTGGCCACCACCAGCCCCTGCACATGCCCTGGTTTCAGGCAGCCTCGGCTTGGCAGACAGGAAATTAAACGCGGCCCCAGCTCAGCGCCACCGGAAATGAAAGGGCCAGATCGCAGTGTAAGCAGGAGCCGTCCCCCACCCCCCTATGCAGGGCTTGGGAGGAAGGGACCTGACTGCAGAACCCGAGCAGTCCTCAGCCTCAGTCCCCAGGCCAGCACACTTCACATGGTGGCACCCAGGAGTCAGAAACAGGCCTCACTCCGGGGAGGCCCGCTGCTCCCACTGGGGCACAGGTGGAGGGCCTGGCTGTGCTCATCGGCACCAGGAGTTCCAGGCTCCCTCCTCCACCTCCTGAAAGGCCTCCCAACCCCTCACACGTGCAGTGGAGGGGGACATGGTGTCCCACTGCACACAGGCACAGATGGGACCTACCACATGCCGGGTGCACGCAGAGCAGACACACAGGTACGTGAGCCACTGGTGCACATGCAGGCAGTCTGCAGGGGCACACACACCCATGTAGACACCCAGGTACAAGCATGGGAACATGCCCTGGGCCACTGTGGGTACAGAGAAGGGAGCCATCCCTCCCAAGGTGCCACTCAACGGCTTTCCCAATGCCCCTCACCCCAACTCATCTCTCAAGGCAGGAGGGCACACTGTCTCTGGCACTGGGGCCAGCATCCCAGGGGCATAGCCAGGGAATTCCAATGGGAACTGAGCCCCTCTAGTGTAACTCACCACTCTGCCTGCAAAATGTGGCCTGGCCACTACCAACAAGCACTGAAGAGCCCCACTGACCCATAAGGATAGCACAGCGCGCAGCAGCCGGGTTTTGAAGATGAGAAACCGGTAGCTTGTGGGAGGAAGAGGGCGTCCTGGCACCTTGCAGGCGAGGACTGGGCATCTGTACCCGCCGGGGAGCAGAGTCCTGAGCACAGAGACCCACGGCCCTCATGCAGGTCACCCCTGGGGCGCCCAAGGCCCCCATTCACCCACAGCCTCGCTCTTTCGCTTACTCAGCAAACCATGGGCACCGACTGTGTGCTGTCCCCTGTGCAGGGCATCACAGACGTGCTCGGACCTGGGGACTCCTGCCACCTCATGGGGGCCAAACATGGGCACGGGGATAGGACTAGGGATTACGCTGAGGCTCCGAACAGGATGATGCGGAGGCCACAGCAGGAAGGAGCCCAGAGTCCACCCTCTCCCACCACTCCTGCTCCTGTCATGGCAGATGTCCTCATGCAGGCAGCTGGTACCTGTGCCACGCCTGCCTTGGTGTCCCCTGTTCCCTGAGGGTCCTCAGGCAGCCTAGGCCCTGGCAGGAGGCAGTGGGCAGTGGGCAGTGGAGGCCCAAGTCCTGCAGCCCAGCACAGCCCGCAGGGGTGCCCTGAGGTGTGACTCTGAGGTGTGATCTGGATAACCCGGGATGCCTGGGGTGTTTTCAGCAGCACTGGAAACCCCTGGCCCAGCCCCATCTGCCCCGGAGGAGCTGTCCATGGTGGACAGAGCCAGCTGCCCAGGGCCCACGTGTGCGTGAGTGGCAGGGTCACACACATTCAGAAGATTCAGCCTGTACCCTGGTCTGGTGGGTGGACACCTCTCTGGGCAGCCCTGGTACCCTCTCCCCTAGGGCACTGTGATGATGGGCAATGACCCTTGGAGCAGGTGGACCCCAGCCAAACTGCCATGTGTCTTAGGGGAGCTGTCCCAGACAGGGTGCCAGTTCCTGTTAAACAAAGCACCACAGGCCTGGCGGCTTACACCATGGACATTTCTCCTGCGTGGTCCTGGAGGCCGTGGTCTGAAATTAGCAGGGCTATGTCCCCTGACACACTCCAGTGGTGGCTGGCAGTCCCCAGCGCCCTTCGCCTGCAGCAGCATCCATCTCTCCACTGTCACCCAGCCTTCTGGCCAGGGCCCCCTCCCTTCTTACAAGGGCACCGGTCACCTGCGATTAGGGCCCTCGCTGATGCATCTGGCCCTGATGATTTGTGCAGAGACCCTGTCCCCACATCCACGGTACCTGGGATAATAGGCGAGCACACCGTGCTGGGACCCAGCTCAACCTGTGCCAGAGAGAAAACCAACCTCTGGAGACACAGGCAAGTCCTGTTGGGAGGCAGGCCGGACACCCACCTGCAGTGTGTGTGCTCCACGGTGCCTGTCTGTCGGAGGAGCAGGAAGTGTCCTCAGGTCACCAATCTATCTAGCTTACAAGAGCCCGGGGATTCACCCCAGGCTTCCTGACCAGTCCTCTCTCAGTCCTCCTCCCACTCCTATACCCCATGCCGCCCTGTGCCCTCCAAGGTCTCCCACCCCAAATTCCTACCTCTGCCATTCCCTACCTGGGACGCCACTGGTACATCCTTCCAACCCTCCCTGTGTGGCACTATGACCATCTTGCCTGGTGAGGCTGCACCAGAGACAGTGGGCACTGAGCCCCAAGGAACCAAAGGACAAACGCTGAGATGCCTGTGTCTGTCCCTGGGCTCCTGCCTGGCTGCCATAGTCACAGGACTATAGCATCCGGTGAAAACGCTTGCAGATAGGATGCCTCCTGGAGAGGCTCAAGGGGAAGCAGTGGCCAAGGTGGAGTCCAGGACGAGCACACAGCCATAGGGCCCAAACAGAGGCCTAGAGAAACCAAGACACCTGGGGATGGGAGGCAGCACCTGGTGCACGTGCTCACTCCACAGAGGGGTGTGTCCAGCAGGCCACATGCTGGAACGTGGCACCAGTACAAACGGGTATGATGTGCTGAGACAGGGGAAGGGAAGGAGGGGACTGGTGGGGTTGCTGCCGGGTGGCAGGAGCCAGTACTGGAGATGAGACAGGGCCAGCATAGCGCATGACAGGAACCTGTCTAGCCACAGTGTCTGCTCTGAGCACATGAAGAAGTCACCATGGGCATGAGGCACCTTCGCCTGCAAAGTGCTCACCTGGACCTGCACACTGAGTTGACGAGCTTGGGTGCCAGCCCACGAGAGGGCAGCCTCTCTGCAGGGGACCTGAGGGCCTTGGGCCAGGGTCAAGGCCCGATGCCCAGCATGGCCCTCCAATCGCCTGGTGGTGTGTGAGGTGCACTGCATACATGCGTGCAAGGGGCGGTGATGGGCAACAAACCTGGGTGTTCTCCTCCTAGAGAGCAATGCAGCACATAGCTGTGCAGGACAAGCAGAGGGCGGGGAAGCTCTGAGAGGGAATGAAGAGGAGCGCCACTCCCAAGGACGAACCCCTGCAGATGCGCCAGGCTTCAGCTCTGGTTGATGCACGTGGGTGTGATGCAGAACTCCTTCTGTGACCTGCCTGTGTCCCCGAACCAGGCCCTGGGACACCCTTCAGGTAAGCCATGTGACACACGCTGTTCTAAGGGAGCTGGTAGGTAACCACTGGGCTCCATTGCCCACTGTTGCTGCTACTGGGTGGGACTGCCAGGGTGGCACCAGGGCCCCTGTGTCAGATGGCTGGACTCCCATGGCTCCAAGATCAGATGGGTGAACGGTCCATGGGGTACAGTGTGTCATGGTGACACAACTGCCCACGTGTGAACTGGACTGACACCCATGGCCCTGTTAGAGGGATGAACACCTCCCTCTTATGTTCAGTGCCCACAGATATACCATAGCTCTGGTCTGGGGTGGGTGAGTGAACACTACCCCTAGCGTAGAACAGCCCACTGCTCAGACAGAGTGGGCCTGGTACTTGTCCCGCCTGGCCACTGTTCAGGAGAAGCAACCATGTCCCAGGTAGCGGTAGACAATCTAGGTACAGAGAAGCTCTGACTTGGAGCCCAGTGACAGCCCCTCCCCTGGCTGATGTCCTCATCTCTGCAAGAACAGGCCCCTCTGCCTCTGCTTGATCTTATCCTGGCTGCCCAGGGCTGTCCCCAAGCCACAGGGGTGGCCTGTCCCCTGAAGCCCTGCTCACAGGTGTACCCCACTGGGGCTGAGATGAGCCACCTGGCTGAGGGGCCTCTGCAAGGCCAGGCCATCATGCCCTTCATCAGCATGCAAGGACAGTGGGCACCTCCATGCCTGCTTTGATATCATCCCTGCCGTCTAGTGCGGCACAGCTGTATAAACACACACCCCACTGGGCCCACGCCAAACCTGATATTCCGGGCAGGGGTGACATGCTACCTGGGGCCACCAGGAGCCCAAAACCTCTTTAGGCTGAGAACCAGTGTCAGCCCTGCCCTGGTACTGGGCTCTGGGAGCCAGGAAGGGTCCTGGGCTGCACGGGGCTGGACGGCTGCACTGAGCTCTCAACCACCCCAGAAGGCCAGCATTGCCCTTGGCACCATTTCTACAGATTTGGCAGAAACAGCTCAGAGACACAGTCTACTCAGCTGGGCACGAGGGGAGAAAAAGCCACCACGAATGTAAGCAACGAGCCATTGGGGGGCTTCCAGTCTCCGAGACCCTGGAGGGAACGAGCAGAAGGGCACGCCACTGCCTGGAAGACACAGTCCCTCGGAAAGCCAGGGCCATGGAGGGCACAGGAAAGACCGGACAGAGTGGGCTGTGCCGTGTCACTTTCCAGGCAGCGAGTGGCAGGGCAGAGTCCGCCCTGGACAAGGGTTCAGGTGAGCACCGCCTGGGCCATGGTGCCCAACGGGGCAACTAAGGGCAGCCCCAGGCAGAGACCCAGACCTGGGGTCTCAGGGAGCATCTGCAGCTAGGCAGCCATTCAGGCCAATGTGACGGCACAGATCTGGGACGACTTCTGACACGATGAATGGCAGGAGAAAGACTCAAAATGACTCTGACAGGCACAGACTGCGAGGATGGCCCTTACCTATCCTAAATGTCAGTACCACGTCTGGGTTCCAAAGGAAGCAACTTGCACCCCTG